TTTTTTTTATTAAATTATTTTATTAAAAAATTATTTAATTTAGTTTATTCTTATTTAATTAAAATTTTGAGAAAAAAATAAATTAGGGACGAGATTGAAAATAATTTTTTTAAAAAAGGTAAAAATTTAAGTTCATGAGGTATTTTTAAAAGAAAAATTAGAAACAGCATTCATTGGACCATTCGAGATCGTAAACTGGATTGGCACGACCGCCTACAGACTGACACTACCTCTAGAGCTATGCAGGGTTTATAATGTGTTCCACGTATCTATGCTATACAAGTACAATCTAGACCCCTTACACATTCTGTCCTATAAGCCTCTTTTACTCCAAGAGAATATATCCTATGAGGAGGTACCGATTGATATTGTAGATTGGAAGAGTAGAGTACTTCGCAACCGAAAAATTCTATTCGTCAAGGTCCAATGGCAGAACCATACATAGGAAGAGGCCACTTGAGAACTAAAATAAAGCTTCAGGGCCCAGTATCCCCAGCTGTTCGATTGAGTGAGAGAGTGACCAATTTGAGAGACCAAATTTGCCTAAAAGGAGGAGTGTTGTAATACCTGGGCCCAAAAACTGGTTTGAGATATTTTTTATTATTAAATTATTTTATTAAAAAATTATTTAATTTAGTTTATTTTTATTTAATTGAAATTTTGAAAAAAGTTAAATTTGAGACAATATTGAAAATAATTTTAGAAAAAAGGGTGCAAATTTGAGTTCATATGGTATTTTTGAAGAAAAATTAAAAACATGGGGTTAAAGTACAAAACGAAAAATTGTGGCCACGTAGGACTGCCCAGTCAACAGTCTCGACAAACAACACGCTGTGTGGTAAAGCACTCTGACGTCGGTGTCACGTGAGAGGCCACACTCGCGATCTGCGTGCCCCACGATCAGACGGTCTAGGATTGACCCTGCGAGCGTGGACGACTCGGATTCGTTTCCCCCTTAAGCGCGATCGGACGACAGAGATCAATCGCGATAAACGGTCCAAATTTGTTTCTTCTTTAATCGCAATCGGACGGACGAGATCGATCGTGATAGATGACCCAAATCAATAAGAGATGGATATAAATACTTCGCATTACATAAGAACCTGAACTCTAGCTGTCAGCCTCATTCGAAGAAAAAGAACCAGACACAAGAGAAGGAGGTCGACCGTTGACCATTGCCGCACCGGAGCCACTGTCGACAGCTAAAAAAGGTAAAAATTCTCATACCGACTCGAAATTAGATTTTGAGCACCCTTGTGACCAAATCAGAGCAAGAGGGATGACGGGTGAGCCCAAAACTGTAGGCAAAGTCTGGCAGAGCCGTCACGGCCAAAATCTCAAAATTCTTTTGATGAGCCCCTTCTCAATTCCCATTTCATGTGATTTTTTGATCATTGTGTTCACCATCATTTTCTATGTAGGTTAGTCAAAGAAAGAACCTCAGCCACAAAGGAGGACAGGCAGAGCCGCTGCACCTAGAGGTTCCTGCTGTTGATGTGTTTAGTTTTTATTTGATTTTTCAGCCAGAGGAGGCTTCTAACGTATTTTTCTGCAGGGATATGGCCAAAACTGGCCAAAATCGACTAAAACTGGCCAGATTGAGGCGAACTGCTACCGACACCGTACCGGAACCCCAAAATTGACCAGAATGAATTTTAGATATTGATTTTGAATTTTTGAGATTTTTTTAAGTATGTGACGAGTATTTTGGATTTTACATAAAAATTTCAAAAAATTCGGTATATGTTAGGAGGCGTAGTAGACAGCTCAACATCTCAAAACACCGATCCGGGTAAGGATCCCTCACCATATTCTCCATTACAGTAAATTGAGGTTTAACGATGTATAATTTCGTGTTTTCATGAAATGTTGGAAAATGCTAAAATTACTTACAAGTTATTAGCGGAGCTGGAATTCGGTTAGTTCACAATTGTCTTGATTTTCTGTTTATTTTTTTGTACTGTCCTACTTATTTGATTGACCCACTGTATGATTAAAATTAGTACTTTTAATTATTTTTCTATTTATTGATTGTCTGATCGTGATCTTTATCTAATTTATTAATTTGAAATAAATGCCTCATTTACATTTTTTTAATTGTTGAGGTATAAAATTGTATTGTTTACTTAAATGTCGTTTGATTGATATGTGAATATACAATGAAATATTAGTATGCGCTTGTTGGTTGTTTGTTGATGAAAATCTGTATGTGAAAGACTTATTAGGTACCCGAAAAAAGGGCGGATAGACCCGGTATATAGGAAATCCTATTGTGAATGTTACCTTAGTCGGACAGAGTTGGAAAATCTCTTACCAGAAAGGTTTGGGAGATATGATTCACTTTCATATCGGATGGGGTATTGAGACGATGAAATATTTGGCACCCATTACCTAACGGAGTATGGGGGATGACCGATTAATTGTTTAAATTGGATATCAGGTTCACGGGTAGAGAGGACACCTTTATAGACCCCTAGGGGTACCAGTAAGCAGGTAAAAAAAAGAAAGTTATTATTTCTTGTTCTTTTATGCGTGAAAGTAAAAAGTAATATGAATATGGATATTCATAGGTTGTTTTTGAAAAATTCGTTATAGTAAATACTAAACAAACATCTTCAAGTTTAAATGTGTTTAAATAAAGTAAGGGTTCCGTTAGTTATTTTTCTATTTTTTTTTTTTACCAATATTCAGTTTTCCGTATATATGATTGGTGCGATATTCTTATTGGTATAGTGTATCTCATCATTTCATAACTATTTCAAATCCAAAGGACTAAAATTTAGATTCCGATCAGCAAGAGGGTTGTGAGTAGTTCACTATCCGAACTCTCTCTAAGTACTAATGAAGATTGTCTTAAAATACTTAGTTATTCGCTTTTCGTTTTATTTCTTTAATTATCGTTTTTTTTTAGAAGAGATATTCTCGTATTCCTACTGGGCATTTAAAATTATTGTATAAGAAATGTAAACTCTAACTTTATTAATCGCTTCCGTATTTAATTTATGAATTTATTTTTCATTTAAGTTCCGAAACTTTACATAATATTAATTTAATAATTTTTTTAGACTTAAATTAGTAACTTTTAAAAATTTTACATTCAAATTATTAATAATATGCATATAGTTTGAATTCTTATATAAAATTTAATAATTACGTTTGTTTATAAATAGTGTATTACATCATAAAATTATGAAGACTCGGAAATTAGTTGGGACATGGGCCTCATCTCTAGGGATGGCCGACTTCCCATTGGGCAAATGTGGTCAATTCAAAGTGAAAATTTACGCAATGCAATCTTATATAGTCCCAACAATATAAATTAATTTATAAATAACTCATGTCGGACAATAAAGACCATATTACTTTAGGAGTAACCAACACAAACCAATGAGTATAGAGTAAATAGGAATTTCATTATAATATTATATATGCATATATACATATACAAGGCATTCTTATAATATATATATATATATATATAAATATAAACATTAATCGTGGTTATCAAATCTTTGAAGTTATCTTTTAGCCATATGGTTCTATATATTTTGGGGAATATTTCATATATACTAACTAGTATTTACTAATCCAACAATCGCAACTTTCCACTACATATTACATCACAGCAATCTAATATTGACATAATAGGCCATACTACATTTTTTTTTTTTAATTTTTAAAATAAAATTAATATGTTAATATTATTTAATATATTATATATATATTCTTAAAGGTAAACTTTTATATATATTTATCAACCAAAATTTTAAAACATAAAAATAAAAATTAATGTAATGATACATAATAATTATTTATTAAAACTTGTTAAATATAAAACTAAAATCTAATTTTTAGTTGATTACAAATCATGCACCGTATAATTTTAAATCTAAAATTAAAAGTAACATATAATGGATTCGTATGTGTATATATATAGATTGTGTGTGTGTGTATATGTATATATAGAGTGTATATTATTGTTTTACACAGATCTTAGATCATGAAAGCTGAAAAATACATATACAGAGGCGCACGAAACCTTAAGCACATGGTTGTTTAATGCTTAGTACTCGCTAATTAATGCTTAATTTAATTATTTTTCCTAAAATATCTGTTAATCAATTCATACGAGTTTCTACATCAATATTTTAGTTTATCCAACCATTTTAAAACAAAAAAAAAAAAAAAAATAGGGGAACCAAAGTAAAAAGTTTGTTAAAAAAAAATATATTTTTAATTTAAAAATTTATATTTACACATAACATATGTATATATAGCAGTATTTGTTTTCGTGTAAAAAGTAATGATTTCTATATATTTATATATATATATAATAACGTATTTAATTATAAGGATATATTATATATTATATATTATAAAAAACGAAAAAGAAAATTATTAGGTGAAATTTGGAGATGGCAACAACTGTTCTTTGCATGCAGCCTCCGCGTCTTCTCTTTATCGTCACCATGGACGCCACATATACTCTTTCCCCACTCCCTCTCTATGTATGTATGTATGTATATATATATATATATATATATATATATATAACAAAATTCATTTCTAACATCAATTAATATATTTATTTTTTTTAAATCAGCATTATCGCAAGTGCAAGCTATTTATTTAATCCCTGCTTACTAAAATTAGTTGATATAAAATTTTAAATTAATATATATAAACGAGGGTAAATGTGTAATTTAACGGACTCGGTCTTTATAAACGCTGTTTCAGGTTTTTAACTCTGTCTGTATAACTGTCTAAAGACTTCAGCAAAAACTCTTCACTTGTCTGCTGAAATATTAACTCTTCTTCATCAGAGCTTTTAGTCATAACTGTATAGTTCTTTCGGCATGAGATCGCCAGGTGGTGCAGATACGTCGTCGTTTCTGTCTGATTTCCTTGAGAAGTGCGGCGGCTACGCGGTGGTGGACGGTGGGTTTGCCACGGAGCTTGAGCGCCATGGTGCTGATCTCAATGATCCTCTATGGAGCGCCAAATGTCTCATCACTTCTTCACACCTTATCAGAAGGGTAATTCATTTCTAGCCATATCTACAGATACTTGTATCTATCTATACACACTCTGCCGCATGCATGTCTACTGTATACAATATATATATATATATATATATATGATTGTTGAAATTCAATTTAAATTGTGTTTTGATGGTTTCTTTCTGTTTTGTTCATATACGTTAAAGCATAGATTAATTTTTTGTTATTATATGTGTGTGTGTGTGTGTAAATATATACATAGATATCTGACAGGTGATGGGTATTTAATTTTGTTGTCATAGACATATACGGGTTGGGTTTTACTGACACTTGTCTGCCTCATGCAACCCTGTAATATATTCATACTGCTAATTAATGAGTTAACGTTGGAATTGGAAATGACATTAGAAGAGATTAAGTTTTAATTAAAAAAAAAAAAAAAACTTTATTGTCAGATTTATTTTTCAACAATTCTCAGATTTATTATTTGTTATTTTGTGATGAATTTGACAGGTTCACCTAGACTACCTTAATGCTGGCGCAAATGTTATCGTAACCGCGTCTTACCAGGTATAATAATCCTATATATGAATTGTATCTGTCAACGATTAAGTTTCTAATTAATTAACTACATGCAGGCCACAATTCAGGGTTTTGAGTCCAAAGGGTTTTCCAGTGAAGAAGCTGAAGATCTACTTAGAAAAAGTGTTGAAATTGCATGTGAGGCAAGACAAATTTTCCTCGACAGATGCACCGAATTACATTCTCGGCCCATTCTGGTTGCTGCTTCTGTTGGCAGCTATGGAGCTTACTTGGCTGATGGATCAGAGTACAGGTCAATTTAAAGTCAAAATATTTTTGAATGGATAATCATGAATTAAACTGTACAGTGAAGTTTAAATCTTGAATGGTAAGATTCTACTGATAGGGAAATCTTCCGCCCTATTTTTATCTCTCTCTCTCTCTCTCTTTGCAGTGGAAACTATGGTGAATCAATTACCCTAGAAAAGCTCAAGGACTTTCATAGAAGAAGGGTTCAGATTCTAGCCGATTCTGGCGCTGACCTAATCGCATTCGAAACAATTCCAAATAAACTAGAAGCTAAGGTATTTATTTGTATTATAGAAGAATTGTTTTGCATAACTGGTATATATATCAATAAGCTATCTTACTTTTACTACCAACTTTAATGGATATCTCATTTTAACAAGTCAAAATTCAAAATTTTAATAAATGGGTAGCGAAATTATAACATGATGTTATCAATATAAACCAAATATACAAATTATAATATGTCAATTTGTAATATTTGCAGGCTTATGCTGAGCTTCTTGAGGAAGAAGATACTAATATTCCAGCATGGTTTTGTTTCAATTCCAAGGATGGAATCAATGTGGTCAGTGGTGATTCGGTGTATGAGTGCGCATCCATTGCAGGCTCTTGTAATAAAGTTGTCGCTGTAGGATTCAATTGCACTCCTCCAAGATTTATCCATGGCCTCGTTCTCTCGATGAGGAAGGTATAGGATTCCATAAACCACCTTATCTCTTTAAAAAATAAAAATAAAAATAATTATAAGACGTTTCAATAATAGATATTGTAGATATAATAGATGAAAATGGTGTGACAGGCAACAGATAAAGCAATAGTTGTGTATCCAAACAGTGGAGAGACTTACGATGCTGGTTGCAAGCAATGGGTGGTCAGTTTTCTATCTCTATTAACAATCCTATTTTTTTTATGTTTGTAGTGTTTTTAGAAGACTAATTTACTTGTCCATTGTTTATTACACAAATATATAACTGTAAGTAAATGTGAGTTGCAGGAATCAAGTGGAACAGGAGATGAAGAGTTGCTGGTGTCATACGTAGAAAAATGGCGTGAAGCAGGCGCTTCCCTCTTGGGTGGTTGCTGCAGAACGACTCCAAGTACAATTAAAGCCATATCTAAAGTTTTATCACGTAAATTCGTGTAGTCAGAATTCTTTTTTTGACTGTTTAATTACAAGAAAATATACTTGGACTACATGTATCGACGGATTTTTCCTTTTATTTTGCCTTAGAAATAATCACGCTTTGGACACAAGATTGGAGTTTTTAGAAACTTTTATTAAGATTCAAATTTTGAACATCATTAATCTCAATGATTAAAATAATATTTAATATGTAAACAGTAATTATGGATTATGTATTCAGTAAACAAATTAGGTAGTTTGTATACGAGTATTAAGATACAATAAAAAATAGAAAATTTAAAAAGTTTAAAAATGTAAGAAAGTAAATTAAATAAAAAATTAGAAAAAAAAAAACAGATTTTTATTTATTTATTGTAAGATTCTTCAAAATTATCGTTTCTATTAGAAAAAGAAAATTAATTTTTTAAAAGATTTATTTTTTTGTTAAATTTATATTAAAAAAAAAATTCAACTTAAATGATATAAATCGAGAATATTACTTTAAATATTTCTCATATATACATGTACAAATATATATCTAACGCATGAATCAGAAAGAAGATGAGTTATGTTTTTGGTGTATATAATGGATCAAATGATCAAAGATTTACGGGGTATATAAATGCACATATACTTACATGCCTATATATAGATGCTTTATTGCCCTGTAAATGGACTTCACATTTTCATTTTCAACAAAAAGATTTACGTATTTTAGCTTTTAAGTGGATATATATATATATATATATATAAAGAAAAATAGGATGAATTAAGCGAGCTTTCTCGTCCGAAGTAAAAAGGCGCTTAAGGTTCTACCCTATAAGGGTGGTGGCGGCGCTTAACGCAACTGCAAACAGGAAACACCTAACAGGAGATAATGGCTGCCAATATTTGTCCCACTCCACTAGTTATAGCCACTCCAAGCTCCACGTCAAGTTTCTCTGACCAAAGCGAGCTGAAAAGGATTGCCAAAGACTCGTATCAAGTTGGGTCTTTTAAGATCTGCAAAACCATGAAGGAAGTCGAGCAATTACACTGTCGCATTACCAAACAAGGACTCACCCACAGCCTTTCTACCATGACCCAGCTTATAACCAAATGCGTCGAAATGGGTTCTCTTGAGACCTTGAATTACGCCCGAAAGGCCTTCGATCTTTTCAAGGAAGATAATGAAACAACTGGAACTTTGTTCATGTACAATTCATTGATAAGAGGTTACGCATTTGCTGGAATATGCAATGAAGCTATCTTGCTTTACGTTCAAATGATGGACCTTGGCATTTTGCCTGACAAATTTACCTTCCCATTTTTGTTAAGCGCGTGTGCGAAGGGTGCCACATATTCTGTGGGAATTCAGATCCATGGATCGGTTATAAGTATGGGTTTGGACGGAGACGTGTTTATACAGAATTCTTTGATACACTTTTACGCAGAATGTGGAGAAACTGACAGCGCCCGCAAGATATTTGATGAAATGCTCAACAGAAATGTTGTCTCGTGGACCAGTTTAATTTGCGGTTACGCAAGGAGGGATTGTCCACAGGACGCTATTGCTTTATTTTTTAAGATGGTGGAAAGTGGTGTTGCACCCAATTCGGTTACGATGGTTTGTGTGATATCTGCTTGTGCAAAGTTGCAGGATCTTGAGCTGGGTGAGAGGGTTAGTTCTTATATTGGTGAAGCTGGATTGAAGGTTAATACGCTCATGGTGAATGCACTTGTTGATATGTACATGAAATGCGGGGCTAATGATACTGCAAAACGGCTTTTTGATGAATGTTTAGATAGAAATTTGGTTCTTTATAATACAATAATGTCTAACTATGTGCGCCAGGGGCTGGCAAGAGAAGCCCTTGCTATCTTGGATGAAATGCTGCAGCAGAACATGCGACCTGACAGAGTTACAATGCTAAGTGCAGTCTCAGCATGTTCACAGTTAGGAAATATTATACAGGGCAAATGTTGCCATGGTTATTTTTTGAGGAATGGACTTGAATGTTGGGATAGCATTTGCAATGCCATAATTGACATGTACATGAAGTGTGGCAAACAAGAAATGGCATGTAAAGTTTTTGATTGCATGTCAAACAAGACTGTGGTATCATGGAACTCGCTAATTGCAGGTTTTACTGAAAATGGTGATGTAGATTCAGCTATGAGAATTTTCAATGAGATGCCTGAGACTGATCTTGTGTCTTGGAACACCCTTATTGGTGCTTTTGTTCAAGAAAGCATGTTCAATGAAGCGATTGAG